AAAAAAAATTCATGATTTTCCGTTGTTGTTGTTCAGCTCTGGGACTTCATCCTTTCCTGAGTGGATTTTGACTCAAAGCAGAGAATGCCAGAAAGATGTTGACTTGAGTTTTGTTGACTGTGCTAAGGAATTCAGTGATGTAGATAAGAACAAACTATGGGTAAATTTGAGAAAAATAATTCCACGAAAATGATTTGTGTCTTGCTGAACTTATACATGGATCAAGAAAGAGCTGTGTGACCAGAACAAGGACATACTGCATTATTTTAAATCAGGAGAGGTGGCTTTAAGTGGTATCCCTTCACCATACTGATTCAATCAGGATGCTGAGCAAATCATCCGAGAAGCTGGTTTACATGAACAAGAGTGTGGCATCGGGATTGGAGGAGGGCCTAACAATCTATGCTGTGCAGATGACACAAACTTGTTTACTAAACGTGATGAGAATTTGAGCAGGGACTGAGGAAGATCAAGGACTGCAGCCTTCAGTACGGATCATAACTCAATGTCAAGAAAACGCAAACCCTCACAACTGGACCGATGGGTACTATCATGATCAGTGGAGAAAAGACCGAAGTAGTCCAGCATTTCCAGCATTGTGTCTTACTGGGATTCACAAGCCATGCTCATGGGGGAATAGCTTCAAGAGATCAACTGACGTGCTGCATTAGAAAAATCTGCTGCACAGACCTCCTTCGAGTATTGTAAAGCAAAGATGTTACTTTGAGGACTAAGGTGCCCTTGACTCAAGCCCTGTTTTTTTGTTGCCTCTCTGTGCATGTGATTGTTGAACATTGAATAAGGAAGATCAAAGAAGAGTTGATGCATTTGAATTATGGTGCTCAAGAAAAATATTGAAAGTACCATGGACTGCTAAATGGACAAACTGGAGGAAGTACGACCGGAGTTTTCCTTAGAGGTAGGCATGGCAAAGTGTCATCTTACAACTTTGAATGTATTGTCAGGAGAGACCAACCTTGGAGAAGGACATCAAGCTTGGTAACGTGGAGAGGCAGCAAAAAAGAGGAAGGCTCTCCATGAGATGGATTTGCACAGTGGCTGCAACAATGGGCACCGGCTTGGTAGTGATTATGAGGCTGGTGCAGGACAGGGCAGTGTTTTCTCCTTGAGCATAGGATTACTGTAGGCAACTAACAACAGCAACATCGGGTAACACTTTGGCTTGTTCGCCATAAGGTGAGCTACTGGAAGGGAGAAAGGCTTGGCTTTCTGCTCTCATAAAAAGTCAGTCTTGGAAACACGCCGGCAGCAGTACCACTCTGTCTTTTTTTTTTAACCGTTTTATTAGGAGCTCATACAACTCTTATCAAAATCCATGCATATATCAGTTGTGTAAAGCACATTTGTACATTCATTGCCCTCATCATTCTCAAAACATTTGCTCTCCATAAGCCCCAGGCATCAGCTCCTCATTTTTCCCTCCCTCCCTGCTCCCCTTTCCCTCATGAGCCCTTGATAATTTATAAATTGTTATTTTGTCATATCTTGCCCTGTCCAA